GCCTTGGAAGCTCACAATGGTCAAACCAAGTCACATGCCAAAGACAAAGAGGGCCCAGGGAAATAGACTCCACCCATGAAGGTGAGAGACAGAGAATTCGATTTTCCAAATACTTACCTAATCTAACTCAGCCATTGTAGCTGTACTTTATGAGCACAAAGATGATCTGCCAAGCAAGCTAGGACCAAAGGAGCAATTGTCAAGGACTGGGTTGTTCATGTGTTGAAGCCCTATTCCCCAATGTGACTGTAATTGGAAATAGGACCTTTAAAGATGGATTTAAGGTTAAATTGTATATAAAGTAGGAGCCCTAATACAACAAGACTGGTGTCCTTAAAAAAAAGAGGGAGAGACACCAAAGACACGTGCACAGAGAAGGAAGACCAGGTGAGGACACAGGGAGAAGGCCACAACTGCAAGCCCTGAAGAGAGGCCACCAGAGAAGCCAACCTTGCTAAAGTGGACCTTGGACTTCCGGCCTCCAGAACCATGAAAAAATCAATTTCTGTTGCCTACACCACCCATCTGTGGCGTTTTGTTACAGCAGCCCAAGCAAACTAATACAGAGACAATGAAAGCTACAGAGAAAGACAGTGCTTAGAGAAAGAAGGAAGCAATCTGTACGTGGAAGCTGTGGTCTGGTGGTGATTTCCTAGTGAAGATGAAAGTGACCTGGAGAGTGACATACAGGTGTGACAGATGGCCTTAGCCACCTTGCCAAAGATGTACAGAGAAACTAACCCTCTGTGGAGGCCTTGGCTGCAGATGTTTTGTTAGGCATCTTACAGATGTGTTCTTATTTAACCCTCTAAACAACTCCAAGGAGTGGTATCATCGGTGTCCTACCCCCCAAGGAGAAGGAAACAGCTTGGACAAGACAAAAATCAACATCTGAGGACATCATGCCACAGAAGTGAGACATGTCAGCACTTTGTTTGTACTCGTTGGTTGCTTTTGATTGAGGTGCAGAAAACAAAGTTTATGCCTGAGAAGGAAGGGCTCCTAAGAGATATCAGTGAAAGAAGAAAACAGGTGTTGCCCCAAGACGGGGAGAGCTGCCGCACAGGAGAGAGAGAGACGGGGACAGATGCTGTCTCCCCTTGTCCGTTGGGAATGATAAAAATGGCAGCCAGAAATCGTCAGTAGATAGCCGGGGTCAGGCACTGTCCAGAGTACTGTATAATGTTTACCATTTTCTAATTTGTTGACTTAATCTGCACAATAACTCTGAGGTGGGTTCTCAAAGTGGCCCCACTGTGTGGATACCAAAACAGCCACGCCATGCTTGTCATGAGCAGCTCTGGCCAGGGTCAGGGCCCCAGCAGCCTGGAGCAGAGCCCTTGCTCCCAGGTGCTGTGTGTCCTCCCCTTCCCCTACAGCTGGGGAGAAGTCCAGGAGGAAACCCATCTTGCAGAGGCACTGCTTTGATCCAGCCTCTCCTGTGTTTGTAAAACTGGTGGTCTTCATTGCCCTCCGTATAAAGTCCACAATCCTTACCTTGGCTTTCAGGGTCAGGTTCCGTTTGTCCCCATCTGACCTCTCCAGCTTGAGTTTCCAGCAGGTCTGCTCCCCACATACTCTGCACATTGGAGTCAATGTCCCCCCACCTCCAAACCTCCTCTTTCTCAATCCTACCCAGCTGCCACGTCCTGTGTGGCTCCTTCTCTGAGGGCCTGAGTAGAAGGAATTATCTGGATCACGTAATTTCTGACTTATTTTGGAGGTCTCTGCTGTGCTTGATCCTGATCCTATTCAATTAGCCATCAATTACTTAAAAGTGGCTTAGACAGAGCTCTCTACTAATAAGAAGACCAAAAGAAAGGATTGTGTCTGTTTTCATTGACTTTTCCACCCAATGAGGATCTAAGAGAGACTGGCGCAGATGTTAAAAGTAACACCCAAAGAGGGCCCGTGTGGCCCGATGCCATGGGCCACTCTGCCCCACAGCACATGGATGGACTGACAGGGTCAGTGAGTGCACCACACTCAACCCCCCATCAGATGATGGTCTCATTAGATTCTTGCCCAGAAGAACTTGACCTCATTCCTGTTCCTTCTTTTGTCCTCCCTTTTTTTTAAAGATAATGTTCAGGACACTTCGGAGGACTTAGGGAGCAAGCAGGGTGACAGAGATGGTGAGAAACAAGTACAGACACTTCAGGAGGGAGCCTGAGGGGACTCTCTGCAGAGAATTTATGAATCTTGGGACACACTGGGTTCAGTTTCCCTTGAATGTCAACTTCAGGAGGCAGAGTGCAGCAGTCGTGTGAATAATGTCAAGTTCACTCCTCATTTACATCTTTCCCAAGGTGGTTCCCACTGCCTCTCTTCTCCTATCCACTGCAAAGGAAGGAGGAGAAGAGAGGACAGGGAATTAGTTCAGGGACATCTGTAGAAAGAGACAAGCAGAGCTGGGGAAAGAAGCCAAGGCAGGTGGTCCTGGACAGGGTTGCAGGGGAGAGGGGCTGAGAAACATGGAAGGGGTCAGAGCAGAAAGATGAGCAGAGCAAGAATGTTCCAGAAGTCTTGCCATGAGCCATACATTAAAGCCACATGGATGCCATCTTACATAGTTACATATCGGAGTCTCCTCTTAAGCTGGTCTAGACAATACTTCTGCAATTCCATCCTGTGCCTAAGTCCACAGAGGGGCCTGGCATTTATTTGGGTGACATTTTTCATTCTTGGGGACTGTAGCCATCCCTGGGAGTTCAGTGCGACTGTCCTTATGTGGCCGAGCAGGGAGCCACAGAAGTAGCTCCTTCCAGTGACTGACAGGCCACGCCCAGGATTCCCAAGCAGCTCTGCATGGTCACTGGTCCACCATATCTGAGACACAGGGTCAAGCCACTCAGGCCTCTCTCCTCCGGGGAGCCTTCCTAACCCCCACCCCTGGCAACCGGAATCCTGGTGTTGGCACCGAGGCCCTAAGCTGAGTCCTGCCTATGTTCTCTTGGTATGTCCTCTATCCTCAAGGACGCGCCAGCTCCTGAGGCAGGACTGCTTCTCCTCTCTCGGGCAAGTGCTGGGCAGCACACTCCACAGTTGTCACCCCCAGTGGCCCCCACGCTAGAGCAGCCTCTGCCCTGGCAGGTACGCTGGGAGCACAGTCCCTCCAGGCTCCGGGAGCCTTCTGGGATGTGCCATCTAGGGAGCAAAGTGGAGGCCCGGGTTTCAGACGACATCTTCTAATTGACCTATGAAAACTCCACCATGATGTCCTAAGCAGGAGAGCAAAATCCAGCCACGCAAAATGTGGGTTGGGTTTTTGCTCTGGTCCCAGCAGCTGTTCCACAGCCAGCTCCAAGTCCCCAAGTTGTGACTGTCACCGGCGCCACCTGGTGCCAGGAGCCGGCTCTAGTGGAAAGGACTCAAAGGACACTTCTGGGCCTCTGTGATTGCCTGTTCTGCCAGGAACTAGGAATCTCCCTGCTAGCTGGCACCACTTCAGCAGCGGGACCAGGGAAACAGCCAGGAGAATCCCGGTGACAGGGCCCATCTCCGCACCTGGAGGAGCTGGAAAGGGAGCCTCTGCCTCTTCCCCAGGTGGCCTTGCCCACCCTCCATCATGCTGCACCCTCATGCATCTTCTCAGGATCCCATGGGCCCATGATCTGTGGAATTGTATCACAGACAATTATCTTGGAAATTAAGAAGGAAAGAAAATACACTGAGTTGCTTTTCTGTTTTCTCACTAATATGGGTCGGGTGGGGTGGGCCTTTAAAAAACGTGTCTTCTTGGGGCTGGGGTTGTGGCTCAGGGGTCCAGTACGTACCTAGCACGCATGAGGCACTGGGTTCAATCCTCAGCACCACATAAAAATAAAATAAAGATATTATGTCCACCTAAAAACTAAAAATTAGATATTAAAAAAAAAAAAACAAAAACATGTCTTCCAGCACAGCGGATTCCACTTATTCCTTTTGCAGAACAGCAGTGTTGCCAACAGACGTTTGAAGCCCAAGTCGTTTCCCCCCAACCCCCTCCCCCGCACCGATTTCTTTTTCAAATGTCTCTGCTTTCTCAGGTGGGCAGTGCACTGAAGCCTGGACACCAAGACACAGACCTTACTAAACAGGCCTCACGCTTTACGCCCACAGAATGATTAAGATGAAAAGGACCTAAAGGGCCGAGTGGTCCTGAGGACTCGGGGCCCGTGGACCTCCAGGGCTGATGGGCAGAGTGTCATGGACACGACCACTTTGGAAAGCTGCCCGTGGGGGCATCCACCGGGGACTCCGCCTAGGATCCCAGATGATGTGCGGAGTGATGGAACAAACCGGTGCCATTCACACCACGGAGCCCCGCGCCACAGCGAAATCCCGGCTGTAGCTCAGCTGCACGCGACAGTCCCCGCGGGACCTCACGAAGGCGGTTCTGAGAGGGAGGCCAGGCCCAGCGCGCGCACTCCGCGGGGTTCACCACCGCACCGCACAGCCAGCCGCAGCCCTGCCTCGCCCCTGGCCACGCGGTGGATGCTGTGGGCCGGACCTGGGAGGAGGCAGAAGGGGGCTCCGGGCCGGGATGGTACTGGCCAGGTCTCGGTCCTGACATCCATGCTTGTTTGCTTTGGTGTTAACACATAAAAATTGTTACTATACTCCGGTTTGGGGACTTTTATATGCATATTATGGTCAAAAAAAAAGTTTAAAAAATAGGTGATCTCTATGAAGGATTAGGCTTTAATAAAAAGTGATTTTTTTTTCTTTTTACCAATATCAAAGGAGCAAAACTCCAAGCTCCTGAGGTTGAAGTCAGGCAGCCTGCAGATGAAAGAGAACAGAGCACTTGCCACGCCCACAGCTTACCCACACACACGCACAGCTGAGTGTCAACAGGTGTCTTCTGTTTGTAGGTGCAAGAGCCCCAGCCCGCGCAGATCACGCCCAAGTTCCTGGGCCCGCCCCCACTTAAAATAGAAAGGAGCTCAAAGGGGCCAGAGGGGGAGCACCTGCAATTCGGCTTTATTTTTATTTAAGTTTGATTCCAAGAAAAATATTGTGTGCACAGGAGATTGGCCAATTTACATGATGACGTCATCTCCCGACGATCTTCCGCCGAAGCAACCGAGGAGGCTGGCCGGGGGCGGGCGAGGGAAGTAAGCGCGGCTCCGGGGTTCCAGGGCCGGTCCCGTCTCTGAGCGGGTGAACACTGCCACCCAGTGGACGCCGCCGAGAACGAGCTGCCTTTGCAACCTACTAACAGAAATTCTGTTTGAATTTATTTAGAAGTGATGGGAACCGCCCATTAAAAAGTGAGTAAAGAATATCCAGACCAAAACAAAATAATAAAGCCTCAAGTAGCAGATAGGCATATATTAAAACGTATTGAACGTCACTAGTAATTGGAGAAAAAGAAGGCAAAACAGCAGCTAAGTACCATCTCCACCCATCTCACTGGAGACATTACTAGACTTGAGTAATCCCAAGAGCTAATGAACATGAATGAAGACATGGTACTCCCGGGGTACAAGTGGGAGGGCAATTTGGAGGGGAATTTGACATTTCTTAATGTTTTAAAATATTAAATTTGGTGCATATGACCCAACAATTTTGATTTTCAGAATTCATACAGTCATTTTCATTTGTGCAACAGAAGACGAGCTCAATCCAGGTCACACTGTTGCCAGAAAACAAGGAAATACTCGGTGAATGACAGGTTCCTGTCCAGAGGACATCCAAGCAACTAGAAGGGATTCCCAGTGACCAAAGTTCAGACAAGCAGAGCATCCATAGAGACTGTGAGCGGTGTGAATGTGGCAAACACGTAGGAATCGACAAGGGCAGATTGACACACAAGAAAGGGGCCAGTAAAACAAAATTTAAACTCATCTGTCATCAGTGGAGATCATTACAACGCGATCTCCTTACTCCAAAGACTGGTAATTAATGGGAAAGCTAAACATTTATTTTTCGTCTCTAGCAGGAACTGTATTTAAGGTTATGTTATATTCTGTGATCCCAGGAGATAAAAGAAAATTTTTCCTAGCCATTCTGATGGGAGTGTGACCTGAAATCACGACTCCACACCATTCCCACCCGAACGACGGAGGTGAAGAAAAACAGTGGATCCTGTGAACCGGCTTTCCTGCTCTGATGATTGCTTATTCCTAAAGCCTGCTCACACTTTATTTCACTCCTCATTGCATTCTTGGGTTGGAGCATCTTCTAGGCGCACATATATTCTAGACCGTTAGCAGATGAGGTGAGACAGAGTGGTACCTCATAAACCAGCAACATTTCAACCAAGGAAACAGCATAGGGGTAGTTAGAAATGGCATAAACTTATCTTTTTGTTAAGAAAAAACAAATACTTCTCATTTATTAATCTTTGAATACAGGATAGGGCACTTTATTACCAAAAGTTCAGACAGATGGATGTAACCCCAAAATGAAGAAAGCCTGTGTGAAGATGCAGCAGATTCATGAGAACACACCCCACCTCGCGATGACCTTTAAAAACGTGGCAGTGGGAAAAAAACAACAGAATTCGGGTCATCGAGCCTCTTCTCAAGCCGCCTTGCTCAGGACAAGGACTGGGGACGTGATACATTTGGGAACCAAAATTCTGGCCTCCAGTGAACTGGAATGTCTCAGGCAAGCTGTATCCAAAAACCCTCTAAGGGCCGGGCACTGAGGTGCATGCCTCTAATCCCAGCAGCTGGGGAGGCTGATAATGGAGGATCTCAAGTCCAAAGCCAGCCTCAGCAATTTAGTGAGGCCCTAAGAAACTTAGAGAGACTCTGTCTAAAAATGAAAAAGGGCTGGGGATGTGACTCAGTGGTAAATCACCCTTGGGTTCAATTCCTCACCCAGTTTTAAGGCTTATGCGCCAATATGTGGAGGGAGGCCCCTGGAGAGTAAGAACACAGTCTGGATTTGAGCTGAGCTCTGCCAGCTAATGACGTGAGAATATTCAGCTTCTAAATGTCCATGTTGTAACCTGTAACATACATAAAACAAGAATGTCTATGTCAGACGTGGGGATCGAACAAAATAATACAGACAAACTGCTGAGCACATACCCAGCTCACGGGCTAAGCAATAAATAACAGCTATTATTATTATTATTATTATTATTATTATTATTATTATTATTATTATTCTTTTATTCCTGAAGCCAGCCTTCCAAAGCCAATGATTCTTTCAAAACTAGGAAGATGAGACCCTTCGAGACAGAGCAGATAGGGCCAAGTGAAGGCTGGCATCTATGAGTACTGGCAAGTTCTGACTCACCCACAGCACTGCCCCGTGCCCTAGTCAGGAGGTGCCTACTGGACATGACTGTGGCTGGAGTTGGGAGTATGAAGAATAGCCCAAGGCTGCCAGAGCAGGGAGGGACAGCTGGGCACCCCTGACGCACCCTGCCAGCAGGGCATGTGGTCCACTGAGACGGACCATCGAGCGTCACTGCCCTCCTCTGGACAAGAGGTAGGTGAGTGACACCAGCTATAGCCAATCAGACTCCATCTCCCAGCTCTGTGCCAAGTGACTAAGACAGACGCAAGTTGGGAGCCCAAGATCCTGACAGCTGTGTCCTGAAGCACTGGTGCCTGCCATCTGAGGCCAGAGCTGCCTGCAGTCCCACCATTTCCTTTTACCCTAGGGATACCCCCTGAACGCCAACTCATTTCTTTTGTGCCTAAGTTGCCCAAGATGGGTTCCCTCTGCTCACGACCCGTGATTCCAAGTGATGCAATTCTCTTCTGCTGCTGACCCTGTGCCCTCATCCTGCACTGTCAAGGGCCACGTCCCTGCTTCTGCCAGCAGTGAGGGTTTTGAGTGATGGCACACAGTCAGTGGGTCTTACGAGGACCTGTTCCCAGGTCCCCTACCAGGCAGTCAGGGCCAGCAGCACACATCGCAGACGCCCCTGCAGTCACAGTGCAGGCAGCCATCGAACAAAGTGACGTGTCCTCGGTGACAGGAGGCTGGGCCCCATGCTCCTGGCCTGGGCGTGGGGTCCCTTCTCCTGCTTCCCCGTGGCTGGGCGTGTGCATGCGGCGTGGCCTGAGCAGTGCCGTGGGAGGGGCGTTTTCCCCGGGGCGGAGGGTGTCTCCTCCATTTCCACAATCTCCCTGTGGAGGTTTAAAGCTCAGATGCCTGCGGGGTCCAGGGTTCTATTCATTCCATAAAATACACTGTGCATATTAAACACACAGGCATGTTTCCCCCTTTGAAAAAAAAAAGATGAGCATCTGTTTTTATTGGATCATCTCCGTCCTCCTCTTCTACCCATGTTTTTCAGCTTCCTTTGGAGACCTGGATGGAGAATGATCTGACTCTCCTTTTATTTCTATGAGAAAAATAAAGCACAGTGTTGTGTTAAATAATGACTGACAGTGGCCCTGGCAGCTGAGGACAGGGGTATTGTGGTGGGGTTTGGGCAAGCCGGAAAGCCCTGTCCCCTACAAGGGAGGGCTGCATGCAGCTGGAGCTATGGATTTTTATGCGGAAATCAAGTACCCAAAACCTCTCTTCTGAAGGAAATGAGAAATCTAACGTTTTTTATGTAAATGTGCCTGGTTTTTAGATGTTGGCAAGCAATTCAGAGCTTCATTTACTTCAATGCAGCAGGTCCACACTTTGCAATTGAAACAAACAAACATGGGTCACATTCTGCTCCTGGAACATGTGCTTATAGCCTCTATGGGTACAGTTCTAGCCAGGGTGGCCCCTAGCACTCAAGTCATGTTTGTAACAATTCAACAAAGTGCCAGTTTTTCCAAAGATATTTAACTGTCACTTTTAAGAAAATTTGTCCTAACAAAATGAATCGGGAGTGTTCATGATGCGCATGGTATTCTCTGGAGTTGGAAGTACACAACCTGCACACCTGTCCATGGCAGCCCTGGTTTCCTCCTCTGAGCTTTTCAAGATAAGTCCTAAAATCTTGCTCACCAGGATATAAAAAAAAAAATTAAGAATTTTTTTTATTCCCCAACTATGCTTCTAACTTACATTTGACATGTACATACTCCTGAAAGATGAACTCAAAGATTGGTTAAATTATCCAGTTAGGGTAACCTGAGATTAAAGAAGATTCAAGTGGGGTTTTGGCTCACGTCCCCTCCTTCACTTGGAGGCTCTGTGTGACTCCTTGAGGCACATCTGCCTGTGACAGGATAATCTATGCCAAGTCTCCTGAATCCTTTCATATTCTCGAAATAGATGGATGTTATTGTTTACAGCCAGTGTTTTCGTGGTGCAAAATCACCTTCTCCCAGCTATCAATTATTGTCATTATCTGTAGCTGGGTGAGTTCCTCACAATGTTTTCTGAAACTATCTCAGATCAGTAATTAACTCCCCAGCCACCAGCTCTCGCTCCCACATTCTAATGAGGAGCCTGACCAGGAGCTATTAGGATGTGAAAAACGGACTTATCTCCAGCATCCTTCTTGGATACAAGGGACTCATTTCCTCTCTTCTGCTGATAGAGGATCAACAAATACTTTCTCCCTTTTTCGGTTGGAAGACTCTGGAGGCCAAAACTGAGTCTGAAAAGACCCGGGCCACTGCTGGAGGCAGAAAGTGCTCAGGGAGGTGCTTGGAATTTCCCCTCTGGCGAAGTCTCTTCTTAATGAAGAAGCTGCCTGCATAATTCAAACCCACTTGAAGCCAGGGCCTGGCCAACCGTGGAGTGGACTCTCTCCACCCACGGCCCCAATTCCCACACCCCAGGCTCCTGGATAATGAGTGAAAGGCTGTCCTCCCCCAAGGGTCCTCCCTATACCTAGAGGGTCTCACAAGTGGCCTGGGAGGCGGCTGGGAGGTGGCACTATGTCGGCCAAGTGAGGAGGTGCATCCCCCAGGGAGAAGCAATTTGAGCTACCAGACAACCCGAAGGCTGTGTTTTAGTTAGACATTAAACTCCTTTCCAAAGTGTCTGGGTTTCCTCCAAACGGAAAACTCCATCATGAATATTTCTGCCTTTAAGAGGAATCCTAAAACTCAAAAGAAAAGTTGGTCAAATATTTGAAGCTGCTGTGAGCAAAACAAATTGATAGGCCTCTGGGGACCACTTGGAGCTGGATCTCATCCTTCTGATCTGGTCTGCACGGCTCCGAGGCTGGGGAAGACGGTGATCAGCCCAGGACAGACAGCAGGCTGAGGAGCCGGCCACCGGGCAGCCCCTTCGTGGGCCACATTCCAATGCCAAGGACAAGACGGTGCTTGAGATGGAGTGAGTGCTGG